AGGTGCTGAATAGCACGTTCTCATTCTCTCCCCTGCCAGTTTTTCACTGTCCGACCGGCTTAGGACCTTTAGAACTGTATACAGGTATACTCGTGGGTCCTTCTCTCCTCGCCTTGGCCTCCAAGGTCAAGGCCCTGACCCAAGTTGATCTAACCGAGTAGCCGCCCCATCAAATTGTTTTGGTCGTCGACTCTCTATCCGAGGTGATCAACCCAGAAGTTAAGGTCCACCGGGTTGCGTGAATCAGGAAGAGTAGTGTGAATTAGGCCCAAAGGCATATGGGCTAGGGCTTCATTAGACGTGTACACGGGTGCATACGTCAAGTGTGACGTCAAAGGGGGGAATGGATGGATTTGTTCCAAGACCGACATGGTGTTGAGGTAGTCATGAGGCTGTGCACAAATTCGGCAGGTACGTGGTGCAGTTGCTGCTATGCTCCTGAGGCGGGATGGCGTAGTGGAGTTGCTCCAGTAGCCGGCCCTTGCGGCTGCGAAGCTGTGGAGGTCACGGGGCCTTGTGGTGGGGTGGTAACAAGTGGCTGTGTAGTTCCAGCAGCATTATTTGGTGGTTGTGTGGCAGCTGATGGCGGCTGCAACCCTTGGAGAGGCGACTGTGTAGCATTGGCAGCCATGGGAGGGTGTTGCGACGTGCTGGCAGCCACGGTTCCTTGTGGTTGTAGCAAGGTTTCCGTCGTGGATTGTGATATTGCGGGGGCCATACTCCTTGTTAGTCTTGTATCAACCGTGATTGATTAGAAGAAAGTGTGGCAAATGGATTCGGGGCACGCATTGAGTATTCACTCATGTTCTCAATAAAAACACCAATTTGTGGGAGTGATTTTCGTCCCTAGAGAATATTCGTTTGAAGGTCCCTTCTTCCTCTTCGCTTCTCTTTCTCCCTGCAAAACATCACGGAGTGAAAAGACTACCCCTCAGGGGGTGTTGGCCAAAGGCCCTTCGATGCCTAAGTTTGGTTGACTATGTGTAGGAAAAATAGTAGCTAACAAAGTGTACGGAGATTTCTCTCGGGGAGAACCGGGTGGCCGAAGCTATGTGTGGTGGCCGGAGCCTTGTGTGTGTGAGAGAGAGAGAGAGAGAGAGAGAGAGAGAGTGTGTGTGTGTGTGTGTGTGTGTGTGTGTGTGTGTGTGTGTGTGACGACTAGGGTTTGTGAGAGGGGATTTCTACGGAGTTTCATACATAAGTTTAGAATTACCTCAAACCTTGTGCGTAGTCATGTATTTATAGGAGCCTCGGAGGCTAGGGTTTCGGAAGAATAATTCCACACATGGAAAGGAATTATTCTTCCCCAATTTGGAGAGATTGATTTAATTAGGGATTTGAAATCAAATCCCCAATTATGGTAAGAATCAAATAATTCCCAAATTGATTGGATTAATTATTTGACCTAGGATTCGTGAATATTTGCTTCCACAAGCTCCATTTGGTTTTCAACTTGCAGCTTCTTCACATGTAGCTCAAGGTGCCATTCATGTATCCATTTCATAGGCTTGTTTTTATGCTCATTGGCTGCCACCTTGGAAATGCTACATCCTTGTCTGCAAGGTTTATGTATAATGTAATTGGAACCCAATCCACCATGAATCGTTTTTCTTTTGTTGTTCATTTTGTTTTAAAAGAAAACTTATGTAAGCAAGGCTCAAATTAAATAATGGTCAGCTAATTTGAAAGATGGCAAACACAATTTGGTGAAGGTTCCATAATATTGAAAAAAGATGCCCAATACCATTTATGCTTCTAAATAATCCTTAGTAGCATATTTATTCATAAAGCTTTTAATATTTTCTAATGTACAAAAACAATGAAAACAACAAAGTAACTCAAATAAAATGCTAGCAAAAGAATAGTTTTATGGATAACAAATATGCAATAAAATGCTCTTATCAATGGGTCAACTCATATGCAGGGTCAACTAATATGTTAATTCAATTATAATTTATATAAAATTAAAAAACTACATTTGAAAGACTTGAAAAGCTTGAATTTCACTATATATGGTATTGTATAATTGGAGTATGAACATCAAAGTTTTAATATATATATATATATATAAGTATTATTGTATTATTATTATTATTTTAAATTGTCGTATCCCCGTGTCCTAGGTTTTTGAGATTTTTCATTTCCTTGTGTCCCCATGTCGTCGTATCTGTATCCATGCAACATAGATAAAAAGGCTTATTTGTTGAAATGCCCCATGTGCTTTCATTATTTTTATAGGAATTGGCCCTACTATGGACTGTTGCGTGGCACCGATGGGCCCATTGGCTTCCGAGTATCATTAAGTTGGGTGATGTGGCATGGGTAATTTTATAATTTCATGATTTTTACAAGAATTTGCCCTACTGTGGATTGCTATGTGGCACCGGTAGGACCCATTGGCTTCAAATCAATTTTTAAAAGGAAAGGGTGTGCATTGGGGTTCCAAAATTGGGGATTCGAACAAAATTGTGCGACTAGAGATTTGGGTAGCTATTGAATTCGGCGCAAGCAATACAGAGTGTGTGTAAGGGTGTGCATTGGGCTTCCAAAATTGGGGATTCGAACAAAATTGTGCGACTAGAGATTTAGGTAGCTATTGAATTCGGCGCAAGCATGTGTGTGTGTGTGTAGAAGATGAGTGGTTGAGTTGTGGTAGCTGTCAAAAGCACAAATCTTTCACTATTAATGCATACTTTGTGACTTTAAGGTGCTGGAATATTTGAAAGGTGATTGGTGGTGGACTTTTAAGGCTCTAAAGTGAATTAGTGCGAAGATGGTTGTGCTTAAAGATGGTGGATCTTCCCAACCCGTGTGTAAGTGGTCCAATTCTACACCTCTTTTGAGCACATTGTTTTTGTTTGGTTAGTTTGGTTGAGCAAGTTTGGTCAGTTTGCTTTTTGAGTGATGAATGCTTGTAAGTTTGTAAATTTGCAAGCCTGGTTGATAAGTATGAAAAAAGGGATCTGATTTTCCCACTCCCTTTTTCTCCACTTATACTCCCTTTTGCTTTTTTTTAAAATACTTTTTAATCAATTTTGTTATTTCTCTTTCCTATTCTACCCCTACTCTATATTAATTTCTTTTTACTTCACTTTTATATTAGTTCTTTTTCTTTATACTTAATTTTCCAACTTGCACTCCATTTTCAGTATTTTTTTCCTTTAATCAAGTAAGAAATTAAGTTTTTTTTCCCTTTAATACTGAAAATGGAGTGTAAGTTGGAAAATTAAGTATTAAAAAAATGATATAAAAGTGAGTAAAAAAGAAATTAATGTAGGGTAAGGATAGAATAGGAAAGAGAAAGAACAAAATTGATTAAAAAGTATTAAAAAATAAAAAAGGATTGTAAGTGGAGAAAAGGGGAGTGGGGAAATCAGCTCCCTAAAAAAACCTTAATACAATTACACAGAAGTCTCCCAGTACAACCAAACTTACAATTACATTATACTTCATCTAAATTATATTTTCATGGCAAACACCATCAACCATGAAAGACTCACAACAACCCACAAAATTCTACACTTCCTTCGAATCTTGTAATTTCCAACTTCTAATTTGTCAAGGTTTTTAAGCAAACCAAGTATTACTAACTTCGAATGCTCACATAATTCAGCATCAACCCGCATAAAAAAAACTAGACTTGACAATACTATACACAACCCGTTAACACAACACAAATTCGCAAAAAAATTCAGTAATGGGTTCGAGTTATCGTGTTGTGTTGATATCGTGTTGACCTGTTACCCACACGTTAAGCTAACAGGTCGTGTCGTGTCAATTCACGAATACCCATTAACTCGTTAAGCTTAGGGTCATTTTTATAAATTTATATCTCTTTCTTTTTTTAATTTTCTTTTCTCTCCTTCTCTTTCTTCTCTTTCGTCTCTTTCTCCCCCATTTCCCCTACTCTCTCTCTCTCTGCCACCTAGATTCCTTGGTTACGAGATGAAAAACAGATGATAATAATAAAGTGATTACTCTTCTGAAGTGATACAAATCAGCCACAATTGCAAGAGGAATGACAAGGAAGATGAGCACAGAAGGCTTGTTACCAACAATGGCCTCTTGCAAATCATTGAGCAAACTTGTATGCATTTGGATCCGAACCCTTGATCCAAGAGTCCGGTTGGATCTTTTACGGACTAGTATGGAGGCTGATAATGTCATTCTTCGTGGTGCACTACATCCATTAATATTAATCCGCTGCTCCTTATGATTATAACTACTTGCTGGTTGATTTTGGGGAGCAGAAGAGAAGAGATGGCGGTGGTTAATTGTTTAATATTTCTGTTTTTATATTTTATATTTAGTTTTTAGTTTTTTTAATTCTTAATTGGTGAAACGGGTCATGTCATGTTTTATATTTTCCACCCATTTTCTTAACGGGTCGTGTCGTGTCAATCCATTAAAAAAAGCGGATTGACACAAATACGACACGAACACTACAAACACGACACGAATGTCAAGTCTGAAAAAAACCCACATCATCTTCCACCTCTTCGCTCCATACCAACAAAGAAATAAAATTTTCAATTCTCATGCCCAGCACAATCATGCATATGGAGGTTGCATGCTTATCTTTTCCTTTGGTCACGCTAGAAATTTGCGTTTGAAGCTAAGCAACAGTGCCACAATGACAACGTTGCACCAAAACCTATCTTCTTTGATGCAAATGATGACAAATAGTGAAAACGACCAACAGGAAAGAGCCAGGTGAAGCCCATTTAAGAGCTTTGACAAATAAATGAAGTCTACTAGGGCAGTGGCTATGAGAATTAGGGGGCAAATTGGAGGGAATTTGGGGAAAGTTAGGAAAACCTAACTTCATTTTTCCAGGCAAAAGCACCCTTAATGGGTCCAGACAACTAAACATCCGAGGATACGGTCCCGATATTTTAAGGGGTAATTTTGAAAATATGTGAAACTATGTTTGGTCGTTTTCAAAATTATAAAACATTTGGGGTCAAAATGTTAATTTTAAAAACTCCGTCTGTAAAGACCCAGCCTCTTCTTCTCGATAGAAGCTAGGTCTTCATTTGATTTGGGCGAGAATAACCAGAAAAGAAGAAGAAACAGGAAGAAGGAAGAAGGAAGAAGGAAGAGAAAGAGAACTAAACGCCGTCGAACCCAGCCACTTCTTCCACGAGCCTAGTTTTGTGATCTATGTAGTTTTTCTTTATTGACTGTCAAGCTCAATTAGTTAAAGGTAAAGTGCTCTTTTGCATCAGGAGCTGAGATACATTTTTATCAGTGAAGGGAGACAATCTAATCTCTGAAGAAGTGTAGTGAAATTATTATATAAAAAAATTATTGATGTGCACAAAGTTACTTGGCTTGTATATAAATGTTGAATACTATCTTTCTTTTCTAGTGCAAAGTTTTGAATTCGATGTTTTATCCAATATTAGAAGGCCAATTGATTGTGACTTGCACAATTTGCAGGATAACATAAAAATGACGGTTGTTCTTTATCCTGACTATGTTGTATATCGAGATAGTTATTGTACAGAACCCCGGTTAACGTTTTCCGACAGTTGCATCAAAGTCAGTGGCTCAAAAACATCTGAACCCTTTGATTTTGAATGGGGAGTTAATGATCTCATTACTTTTGAGTGTCAGAGGTTTCCAAAAGTGAGTCCTGAAACTCTCCTATTGGATGTCACCACTTTGTATATGTATACTTGGTATTGAATATGTACAGTTTATTACACTACATTCAGGCTGAATTTGTGATGATAAAACTCCGTGTGATATCAAAGGATGCCCCTCAAGAGGATATTGCGGATGGTGTTTCTGGTCAGTGCACTTGTACAAAAGCTCTGTTCTTTTTTTTGTTTTTTGCCTTCTCTTAGTAGGATTGGTGATGCATGTGTACTTTCTGGGACTTATCTTTGTTAAAATTTTACCAACATCTTCATAGGCAGATTGTTAAATCTGCGGTTCAATTATTGAAGCTAATGTGATCCTCCTCCAAAATTTTGGTCAATTTTCACATCTCAATTTATGATGTTTAAGCTGTGTAGCTAAGACACTGATAAAAGATTAGATACATGTTATGTTATAGTCCTTACGGATGCTTAGATATGGAAACTCTTTTTTGTTACCTAAATGTTATAAATAAGATATACAAGTGATTTGTAATCCAAGTATTATAAATTACTTTTAGCAAGTAGTATGTGTCATATGAGAAAATATGCTTCTTTCTAGTTCAGAAAAGGTTTAAATCTTGTCCAAACTCGTTAATGCTATGCTTTAGCAGCTATTTGGGACTTCAAACTCTTAAGCTGAGTCTGGCACCTTGTTTTTTTTCCTGACATGATCTGCTACCCAAACTCTCTTAGGCTTTGAGGAGTTGAAGATTGCAGTTGTTGAACCCTATTGGTCTGAGAAAGAGGAAAAGATAGCATCTTTGAATGCAAAATATTTGAATGCATGGGTTCTTCTGCAAGAGTAAGTTTGTTTATGTTGCGTTTGTTAATACAATATTGTCCTGTGTTTCTTATGTACCATATTTCTTGATGTTCTAAGCTTTATGCCAATAAGCTTTGTAAATTTAATGGCCTATTATGCTGATTATGATTTGAGAGATAAACTAGGAAATTATTTTAAAATAACGTAATTTCAGTTGAAGTTTCATTACTGCACCTTACTACTTTTGGCATCATTTATATAATCTATGAGATTTTAAAAATTAAAAAATTTCTTCGTTAATTCTCTAGCTGTACCCACATTAACAAAATTATTGGTATATCCACCAACATACACAAGTTGGAGATAGCATATCTAAAACAATATCCAAGACATGGTCAATGTAATCTGATTGAAGATTAATGGCCAGGTTCCAGTATCCACTTTATCAGTAATGCTCAGGGGGGTCACATGCCCCCCTCAAGGTCATGTTCAGCCAAAGTTTTTTGTTTTTGTCTTTTGAAAAATTTCTTGTTCCTATCATTTTATGAATATTGTTTCTCTTCTCCATTATGTACTATGAATTAGCCAGGCTATCCTATATTAAACTTCTCTTCCTTGTATAATTGCTTTTATTTTTGTTAAAAAACAATTTATAGTTGTTTGACTATGACAACATTAAATCTTATAGTATATGTCATGCAAGCTTGAAATTTGTAGTATGAAGATAACTTGAGGGTGCCCCCTGTGAACTAAAATTCTGGCTCTGCCCCTGCTCTTTTATCAGATCAATGAAATACCATTTCATCAGGATTATAATTTTATTTCCCGAAAGGGATTTAGTTTTAGGATCAAATAGATTAAGTGGCCTTTTGGGTGATCATACCATGACATATTTAAGGGGATATATAATTCAGTAGCAAAAGGGATTGTTGGTCGTACTTTGTCTAGAGAGTCAGTGAGGGACATCAGAGGGGTCCAGTCTTCAATTTGGAACTGCCCAGTAATAGTGTTCCACATTTAGGTTGCATTTTTATTTTCAGAGTTGATGGTGAAAGAAGCTCAGTAAACAGGAATTATTGGCTTAAAGGCTCCTGCTTTAGAACCATGTTCTTCATTTACATTAGTTTGTACCTTTTAGTAAGTATTTGCTTTGTGTGGTATCTGTCAGGTGCCGGGCATAGTGTCCAGTTCTTTTGCCTCTTCACAGGGATGATGTACTGCTCATGTGATAACTATCTCTCTTTTGTTAGTGGTTTGTAAATTAGAATGGTTAAATTGTACTCCTGAAAAAAAAAAAGGAAAAAAAGAATGGTTCAACCGTACATGTGTGGTTAGATTTTGGTTGGTATCTTCATATTCTCTTTCTCTGTTTCCATATATCTAGCTTACAAATGCAAGGCAAAGTGCTGGGATTCACATTTTATTTTTCTTATGTAAATTGTTTGCCATGTTTGTAAATTTATACTAGCTCTTCTGCGCATACATAGTCTAATTCATTTTACTTCAGTAGTTCTATACATAGTCTTAAACTCATCTTTTTCCCCATTTTGGTACAAGTAGCATGGGCGTGGAAACAGATGAGGATGATTCACCTGGGCAGGGGCATCATTTTCCAAAGTGAGTTAAAGTGATCCTAGTTCCTTTTCAGTGTAACTATGAAGATACAAATTATAATGCTTGTTGTCAAATTTTATCTCTCTTTTTGAGTTCAGTACTCCTTTATCTTTCTTATGTTTTATGTTCTCTTCTTTTTTCTCTTATTTGATGAGGATTGGATGAAGATTTTAACTCTCTGTTTCTTGTGGTATATGCATGTGTATCACGTTATCTATAGTTTGATAAGGCTTGTTTTACTACCATGACTTTCTTGAATATGTTTGTAAAATTTAAAGGGATTTTTGTAGAAATGTCACCTGAACTTATATTGCAGTTTCAATTTGTCACCTTAAAGAAAAATTTAAGAGAAATGTCACCTTAATTTTTCAAAATCCATGATTTGTCATCTGACTTTAACACCATCCAATTTTCCATCCATTTTTAAGAGTATTTTAGTCTTTCAATTTTCAAGGGTATTTTAAAACTAGAAAAATTATTATAAAAAGAATTGTATATCCTTTAAACAATTAAAATTGGAAAAAAAAAAATCTCACCTTCCCTTATCCCATGTGCACCACTCGCAGCTCCAATCAACCTCGCCCACCTTGAAATCCATTCCCTCTTCTCTCTACCATGGAACACCTACCTTCCACGCACAAATTCCCTCAGCCCACCCAAACCGAGCCCAACCCAAAGTATCTGAAAATTTCATACATGCTCAGAGAGAGAGAGAGAGAGACAGAGAGAGAGAGAGAGAAGAGGGGGGGAGGGGGGGTCCTATGCGATGTATTTTAGGGGTGGGGTGGGGGAGAAAGGAAGAGATGTGTCTCTTTTTTCTCTCTTTTTTTCCTAGCAAATGGAAAGACTAAAATACCCTTTAAAATGGATGGAAAATTGGACAGTGTTAAAGTCAAATGACAAATCCTGGATTTTGAAAAATTAAGATGATATTTCTCTTAAATTTTTCTTTAAGGTGACAAAATTGAAACTGAGGTATAAGTTGAGGTGATATTTCTACAAAAATCCCAAATTTAAATGATTATTGTCTTGAGAATTAAGGAATCGTTTTCATATATAATGTGGATGTGTGCTTTTTTTGCTTTAATTATAGAATAAATTGCTGTGGTCCCTTCTCTTGGTTGTTCTATTTTCGAAGGAGAACACGACTGCTTTGCTTTAGTGAACAATTTTCTGTTTTCTTTAAAGGTGTTACTGTATGATGTATATTGAACAAATTTGAGATGTTATACAGTTTTGATGAGCCATTTGAAGATGTTGTATATCCGAAAGGGGAGGCAGATGCTGTTTCCATCAGCAAGAGAGATGTTGATCTCTTACAGCCAGAGACATTTATTAACGATACAATTATTGACTTCTACATCAAGTAAGCTTGCACGGATAAGCTCACATGCATAACTTTATTTGCTTTATATTAAAGACCTACCTATTTCGGAATCCTAAATATTTGATGGACTTTCGTCCTTACAATTACAAGTGCTCCCTGAAGATACAATACATACAATTTCTAATAGTAGTGACACCAAGCTTTTGGTTTTTTAGTTCTATAATGTTTTTTTTAAGTAAATCAATTGTATTAACGAATGGCAAGAAAATACCCTAGCATACCCTAAGTATGCATTTACTAGTGCACTGAATGTGTCAGCTCTAATAACTACCTCTACTCACCGTATTGAGGAGAACATTGGTCGCCACCCGAATATCATCACTATCTTCAACAAAGCCCTTGCCTTGTTATCTGGGAACTTTTGACTTGCTAGATTTAATTCCCTAGTTAACCAAATGAATAATAATTTTCAAGTAAATTAAAGTAAAAATAACTGAAATGGAAGATCAAAGCATTGAAAAGTTGTTAACTGCTAATAGACAAGACAATTCAAATGTGAGAATTTTTAAAAATGGAATGCTCAAATAAATTAAAATACTAATGTCTTGAAAGTGGAAACAGAAATTGAAAAATGTATATCACCTTATGATTATAATTTCTAATTTGTAAAAGACAATGCTAATGCTAATTGCAATTGTCTTTGTTAGCAGTTAGAATCGTAATGTGATTGTTGTGATTGTAATTTCTGCCACGTTTAAAATTCAAATATTCCCATTAAAAAGTAATCAATTGACAGGTATTTGAAGAATCAGATTCAATCTAAGGAAAAGCATAGGTTCCACTTTTTCAATAGTTTCTTCTTCCGGAAGCTGGCCGACCTGGACAAAGATCCATCCAGTGTTTCTGATGGCAGAGCTGCTTTCCAACGAGTTCGTAAATGGACAAGGAAAGTGGATTTATTTGAAAAGGATTACATCTTCATTCCTGTAAACTTCAAGTATGATCCTTTGACCAAACTTCGTGCCTCTTGTAATAAGATCAATTTAATGGGTGCTAATATGTGGTTTTTACTATCAGTCTACACTGGAGTCTAATAGTCATATGTCATCCCGGTGAAGTGCCTAGACTTAATGGTAAGTTTTTGTTGGATTGTGCAATGTGTATCTGTGGATTTTTCCCATCATTTATGTAGTTTTGTCATGTTCAGATGGTGACTCAGGCAAGTCACTTAAAGTACCTTGTATTTTGCATATGGATTCTATCAAAGGAAGTCATACGGGTCTGAAAAATCTAATTCAAAGGTATACTATTGAAGTTCATTTTATTTTATTTTTTTAAAGGCTGTATGGAATTATTTTTATTTCTTATTTTTTGGAAAAACAGGTGTTATGAAGACCCTTCTTTTCATATTCCTTTTATTGTTCTTGTATTATTATGCTAAGTTGGAGTTTTAAGAACTGAGAGGGCAAGTGGTCTTTGGTTCAAGAGGTAAAAGTGAGAAGTGGGTAGGGTAGTGGTGGGTCTTGGTTTTAGATACTACCAATACACAAAAGGAAAAGAGAGGAAAAAAAAGAGAAGAAACAACAACTAAATTTGTTACAAGATCCCTTGGACAAAATATTGCCTATAAGAAATTTTTTAGCGTCAATTCAATTGTAGATTCCCTTTGGTTGACAGCATGATTGCAATTACAGTTGATTGTAAATGTATGAGTTTTAGATATGGTGTTCCTTTTGTATACCCTCGTTTCCTTGAATAAATTTATCTTATTAGAAGAAAAATAAACCTCATTTCTTTTGTAAATGCATGACCCTTTTTGGTTGAGACACACAATTTTGTGTGCATGTGTGTGCATTGGCTATTTCAGTATAAACAAAAGATGTGATAGAAAGTCATCCAGGCCCAGTGGTTATATGATTAATCCCTTCAATCAATCATGGTGCTCTGAATTGGTTGTTTTGAGTTCAATTTTCATGAATAGTAAAGAATTTTTTTTAAGAAATTATGGGTTAATAAAGTGCTAATTTGTTATTTAATTAGCAGTTCTTTAGATTTATATTAAAATTTGGTAGGGGGTGGGGGCGCTACTATTTTATATAACGTGGTTTGTGTCCAACAAACAATGCATGCCTCCTGCACTAACTGAAATCTGCCCTGTAAAGACAACGTGTTCAAAATTTTCCAGCTCTTCCGGATTTTGAGTGGCTTTCTTCTGTACTAGGACATGAGGCTTTAATTCACTGATGATGTGCAAATTGAAGTGGATTTGAGGGAAAAGTCACTTGGATAATTGTCAAATAAATGGACTTGATTTTCTAATTTTTTATGGAGACAACACAGGAGTTTTAAAAATATGTTTTTCTGGCATATGATTAGAATTTTTGAACAGGATGCTAAGTACCTGGGGTGTTGAATGGGATATCTATTAATTTTTACAACTTCAGAATTTAAACCTTTTAATTGTGACACCAAATTTTGATCTTGAAATGATAGTTACTTGTGGGAAGAGTGGAAAGAAAGGAAAAAGGAGGCATCTGAAGAAATGTCATCAAAGTTCGACAACCTGCGGTTTGTCCCACTTGAGGTATTACTCCAGTCTCCTCTAACAAATTTTTGAAGACACAACAAAAAGAATTACCCAAGGAATATGCTTTAGATTGGTACTGTAGCTGAAAGTTTGGCATGAAAGAGTGATTTTATAGGCCACATTTGAGTCAAATGATTACTGTTGTGTATACATTAGCCTTGTGATTGATATTATTAGCATATGGCTATTATTTTGGTGATACAAAACCTTGGTGTTCAAAATGATAGCAATTATATGAGATTTGTAGGTATGTGGAATGAAATTCTCGGTTGAGTAATGTATAAGATGGTTCATGTGTTTTGGCTCTGAGTAAACTCATTTAATAATTGTGGGAAGCTGTAGGGCATCCTGAAATGCTTCGGTGATGCATGCTCATCTCAAGATTGGGAGAGATGGAAGTTGTGTCAGTGTACTTTGTAATCTTATGACATTTTTATTCTGTTTAGATCACTTAATAGCAGCTAATCTTAGTTTGAAAAATAAGAAACTTTGGGCTCTTGGAAGTGCAGATCTAATTGTGCAAATGTCTCTCCTCAATATGCGCTTACTTTAGGATAACTTTACTTTACTAGTTTATTCGATATATGAAGTCTAGATGATATGATATTTGATATCTAAATGCCTACTGTTCTTGTCTTATCACAAGATAAAAAGGCAAAAAAAAAGTGACTCGTGTGAAGGTCATTATTATCTTCAAGCAACTTTTTCTTTGAAAAAAACACACACGCAAAGAAATTTGTAGACATCGGTATTAAGATAGTCTAATATTCAAGTGAATGCACCAAATTATTTTTCATTATTCCCCATCTTTTATTGGTGTTTATGGTCAATATAGTTTAAGTTCTAGATGCAGTATAGTGATTTCATCCTCTTTTAACGATACGAACAGCTAAAATGTTCTTCCTCTTTTGTTCTAAATGTTTATAAATAGATATAAGATGAGTGAAATAGTCTTTTTTATGATTATCATTATAAATGAGTTAGGGAATCGGATAAGTGCTTTTAATTATGAATTGTAATCTTAAAGCTGCTCCTTGCTTTCTTCCCTTTTTTCTTTTCTAGAATGTGCATCTTCATCTGTCATGTTGCTGCTGTCTTTGTATTCCTGCAATTGATATTTTCTCTCTTTGTTCAGTTACATGGAGATAATTTGATCTCTGAAAAGTTTTTTCACTTTCTTCCTTATTTTCCTGTCCTTTTAGATTAAGAAATATAAAGGCTTCAATTTTTGCTGATGGTAAAATATTAAAACTTTTGACAATGGTTCACATTCCTTTCAGTTACCGCAACAGGAAAACTCATTCGATTGTGGCCTGTTTTTGCTCCACTATCTGGAGCTGTTTCTGGTAGAAGCTCCTGTTTATTTCAGTCCTTTCAAAATAACCAAGTTCTCCAACTTCGTAAGCGATCTACTTTGTTTCCAGATTTTCCTAATTTCATTAGTTCTTTTAATACTTTTATCCTTTACTTTGTACTGTATAAATGATGTGGCAAGTCAATTTTATACATCTAGTACACAGCCCTAACATATTTAATTTTTAACTTGTACTGTGCACCTCCTGGCTGTATGCGTACTTCATTTTTTTGGTGGAAACATAGTTACAGTCTATTTAAATTCAGAGGTTGATTCTTGTGAAGCCCATTTTGAGTGGAAATCAGTTGGATACATATGGAGGAGTGTATATATGAAACATAGCATAGTGTACATATATGAAACATAGCATATATTCTTTTGTTCATGTATTATTAATTAATTACACGCATGGAGGAGTGCCCAAGCACTTTAAGAGGAGATAAAGCATATTCTTAAAGTCATTGGATGGAAATTTCATGGTTTAATAGACAAATGATTAAGAGCATGTAAGTAAACGAAGTGCGTCCACTATTAACTGTTGGATGAAAACAAATCTAGCAGCTTAGAGTATGAAAATTCAAACATGTTATACTCTAAACGGTAAATGTGTGTTTCCTATAAACTGGTGGATGAAAAGTCAAACATGTCCACAATTAATAGGAAGCATGTCATTTACTTCTTATTGTATGACATGCTTGAATTTTCATACTAATGTGAAGTGTTTGAATGCTTGTGCATATATACACGTGTGTTAGTATGTGGATTTTCAATTTCTACCATGTTATTGCCTTCTTTCTTCCTGTTCGTTGGTGGTGCTATTTGAACATGGGCTTCACATCGAAAGCTTTCATCCTAGGATTTTTTCCTTCAATTGAAAGTTTTATCAGCTCAGATGCCTTACGATGAAATAAACAGATATTGGGTTGGGACAAACTCTGACTTTAGAGACAAATGCTGGAACTTTAAATGGTTTTCAGTGCCTATAAATCATGTACCCTTTTCCCAAAATTTCTTTAACTGTTAGTCTTTCTAATATGATCCTCCTGTAATTTAATTGATCTTTCACTTTATATTTCAAATTTTAGCTATGCATAACCCCAACTTCTGTTACCAGCTTAATCCAGATTGGTTTCTTCCTTCTGAGGCTTCTCTCAAGCGTACTCTTATCCAGAGGTTAATTTTTGAGCTCCTTGAAAATCGATGTCGGGAAGTCTCTTCAGAAGCTTCCAGTGATGAAGACCAGGTTAAATTTCCGGAATGTAACGAGCATGAAACTGGTGTGCAGTCATTTTCAGGAAGATGTGGTCCTGCTATAGCTTGCCAAGAAAATATATCTAATTCTCAGGCAGGCCAGGGGATTGAGATTACTCTGTTATCCACATCTTCTCTTAGGAGCTCTGAGTGTGTTAGTGATGAAGGCTTGGTTCTCAGGGAATTTTTTGAGCCAGGAGCCACCCCTGGCTCACTATTTGGACAATATCAATCATTTGCCCAAAAGTCATCTTTTTACCTTCTTAATGGAGCTATACCACCAATAGAGGTACCACTATTTCTTTTTTTTTCAAGGAACAAAATCTGTTTTAATTATGAGATAGTTGGGATTGAAAAGCATGAGCATTGTTTATGTTGGCTTTTAAGGATATTTTGGGTGTTGATTTATAAAGCTCATGTGTGTTTGAGAGAGAGAGAGACAGAGACAGAGACAGAGTATTGGCAATGCCATGTTATATGTTACTTGTTATATCTTCCCTTTTTTTTTCCCTTCAACCAATTAAAGCTTTGAGAAACATTTGTTTCATTCTTTACAAATCCTAGGTTTATATAGACTTGTGAGACAGGATGGTACGACTTTCTTCTTTTTTTCTTTTTTTCCAGTTATGGGCACAGAACTGTATAAGACTAAGCATACATATTATAAATGGATACATGTTTTACATCGATTCATTGAAGAGACAGCAGTACTTGCACTTATGTATTTGTTAAATAACAGGAAGACACCGAAAATGGAGAGCATTTTGCTTTTTCGCCTATAGGAGACTCTGGTTTTCAGCAAATAACTGGAATCACATCTCAAACTTGTGGCATTCCATACACATCAAGAGCTTATGGAGCTGAGACTTCCTATGACTTGGGAATATCTGTGCAAGAAGAAAATGGAAACATTGATTCATCCCCTAAACCATCAAATTGTGCCTCTGACCATTCTGAAGATTCAGGGGTCATGGAAAACCATCCAGTTGGGGAGGAAGATTTGGGTCTGAGCCAGAAAGAAGAAATGGATGTGAACAATCCAGCTATGGAAAATGTCACATGTTTAACAGATGGCTTTGTTTCTGCTCCAGGCAATCCGGATGCTTCCATTATTGAAGGTTATCAAGACCTTGATAAGGTGCATGATGGCAATGAAAGTGGTGGTTCTCAAGACCATGATAAGGTGCATTATAACAATGGATATGGAGGTTCTCAAGACCCTGATAAGGTGCATGAGGGCAATGGAAAGGGAAGTTCTCGAGACCCTGATAAGGTGCATGATGGCAATGAAAATGGAGGTTCTCAAGACCATGAGGTTCATAATGGCGCTGAAAATGAAGGTTCTCGGGATCGTGTTAAGGTGCATGATGGCAATGAAAATGGAGCTCCACTTTCTTCCTGCGAAGAAAATCCTGATATACCAGCGTATGAAGATTCTAATATGGTAGACAACAGGACAGTCTCATGTGATGATGTGCAGATGTTCGATGATGATCGGATGCCTGAGCCTCAAGAGCAACCTGCTGCAAAAAGGCTGCGGCTTACATCACCACTTGAAGGGGAGAAATGTGTCACATGAAGCCTGCTTGAAGATTGAAATTTGTGAGGCCCTATATCCACTGTTTTGCATTTCACTGGGTGTTTGTGTATAAGTATTTTGATAGGTATTCTGGGCCCAAAAAAATGTACTTTGATAGGTATTGACCTGAATTCTGTGCACAGCGTCTGGTCTGTATAGGCCATATGAGGTATGTGGATGTATTGATAGAAGAATAGTTTAGATACTAGGCGCTTAACTTATATGTCGGTGAATTTATTAGTAAAAAAAGGAGCCTTCCTAAAGCAATTTTTGTAGTCTCCTCTCCAATAATTAGGGCATTTTTAAAATTTTAAGAAAAAAATTAGTACAAACAATTGGGGGAGGGGGTTTTACACAAATATTCATTAGATACTTTGGGTTTCAAACCTCTGCTCATATGGGTGAAGGTCGAAGAGCTCAACCAACTGAGATATACCCTATAGGACACTGCTTTCCTCCTTCCACTTATAAATCACAGTTTGATGCATATGCAAAAATAATTCATCAAAAACACCAAAAGAAAAATCTATAAACACATGTCAACCTGTTTTTGGTAGGAAAGTAGGAGCTCCTACTTCCAAGGAAGGAGGCAAGTATTTTCCTACATCATTCGGTATCACGAACCTCTGTATTTAGAGTTTAGGGTTTAGGGCTTTTGCTTAGAATTTTATGTCTAAATTATCTAAAAATTAACTCATTTTAGGCCATCTCCAACCCACCCTGGCGAAACCTAAAATTTGGGTTTTTTGCACGAAAACCTCTCCAACCATTGTATAGGAGCAGGCTAAAATTTCCATAGACTGGTCTTTTGGGGCCAAATAGCAGTACGTGTTTCAGTTGGACTAATAATTTAGTGAAGCCCACACCAATGTATGATGCAACTCATGTGAAGCACCTGCAACAAGGGGCCCGCATCGTCAGGACACATGGCGCGTTGGGATGAAGGGTTGTAGGAATCCAATGGGTTCCTTCAAACTATTGTTTCTTTTTCTTTTCCAATTTAATTTCAAAGGTTATATAATATCTAACGGCTAAGATTTAATATGAGCAAATCCAAATGGAAAAAACAATCTAACAGGAAAACAAATGATTCAACAAATGAAATTAAAACTCTAACAGCTAAAAACAATAAATAAAATATTCTAAATTAGATCTAACCTCAAAACACATCCCAAACTCTATAAATCCTCATTAAAGTTTATGAAATAAAATGTTGTTGTACTTGTTCTTGTTTTTAGAGTGAAATTATATTATGTTTTGGATTTTGGATTTTTGTATATTAAAATCTTCAGAAAATTAATTCACGAAGGTTGAAACAAGAATAATGTCAAGAAAAATTAACGAGAAAAAAAAAATTAGGGATTAACCTTTAAAAAAAAAAAATCATAAAGTTGCGAACTCAAATTATGAGTTTGCAGGGTTGGTGGAAACAACTTTTTTAGTCTGGACAATACATGAATAGTGTATTTTGAAAGGGAGAAATTTGAGTTTAGCCCCATTTGAGTTGGAGATGGCCTTATGTGACTTGAAATTATATTAGGTGTAAAAGAGGCTAGCTCGGGTTGGCCTAGGCCCTATTCTTATCTTTGTTGGTGTATTATGGATCTCAAGATTGGCTGGTACAATTTTTTGGAACTTTTTCCCGAATTTGTCAAACAAAATCAATGTAATTCCATTGTTAGGTTTTTCATCAAAATTCTCATTAATTGCGTACGTAGCAGCCTTAGACCCCACCTTTTCACATGTTTCAAAGTCAATTTAAGGGTATTTTCAGACAACTAATGTCTTCATGCCCAAACTGTCCAAAACATTTTCTATTTTGAACAATATATTCTACGTCTGGACCACAGTTGAAAAAAAAAATTGACAAATCCGGAATACTTGATTGTTAAAATTGAGAGTATGAATAAACATGCCTTAAAATGGGTACATAAGCATCTCCAACCAACTCGTTAAATGACAAGTGACATGCGAAATGGTTACAATTGAAGTTTTTTGGAGGTCCAACCTAGCCTTTAATGGTGACATAGAAAAGAAGACCGGAGCATGGATGGCAATTTTAACGCCAACATACCAAGACATCTTTTCCATTATTATTTTTTCTAACAATCCCAGCCTTTAATGGTGACATAGAAAAGAAGGCTGGAGCATGGATGGCAATTTTAAAGCCAACATACCAAGGCATCTTTTCCATTATTATTTTTTCTATCAATCCCACTTAGCTTTAATAGATGTTGCCATTTGTTGTTTTGATTGGTGCAATAAGATTGTAAAAGATGTCAAATGGTCATGTAAGCTATCAAATTCAAATTAGGCGGTTTGAATTTGACATCTTATTGGGTGGTAGATAGTTCAATTGTTTTATTGGATGGTAAATGGGTACATGCCTAATAGTTTGGGTGGTATTTTTGCAAATTTTGTTTTACATTTTGGCTGTCGGATGGGGCAATGTGTAGGTTTCATTAAAGTTTGTGTATGCCTCAGTAAATAATCAATAATTCATGTACGAATATGAAAATAATACAATAGTTTGGGAGTTAATTGTAGGTGGAAAGTTTTTTTCTGGGCTGATTGCGAGAAAAGTTGAAAAGAAAAAAACTGAATACGAGTAACGAAACTGAGCTCCACATACTCACTTCACTTCTATCCATGGCCACACTTTCCTGCTACTCTCTGCATCCTCTTTCTTCTGCTTCTTCTTCTTCAACAACGTCTCTCACTGCCAATCACTCTCTTCCACATCAACCCCAAACAAAACCTGAAATCCCTTTACTGTTCCGCTGCTCTGCCACAATTGCCGCTAGGCCTGAAGTCATAATTCAACCCACAAGGCTCTTTGTCCAGCCCATTCTACTATTTGCTGGCTTTGACAGACCCTTGGATACCCAAACTTTTCTTGCTACTATAAGTGTCTTGGCTGCCATTGCTCTCTCTCTCTTTCTCGGTCTTAAGGTAACAACTAGTTCTGCCTTCTTGGCCTAGCTTTCTTTCTGGGTTTTGTGTGTTTCGGAAAAATGGGGTCTTTAAAGAAAAATGGAGCTTGTGGGTATGGTGTTTTTTGGGTTAAGGTTGATGAATGATGGGTTTGTGGTTGTTCTTGAATCTTTTGCAGGGTGACCCTGTGCCTTGTGAGAGATGTGCTGGCAATGGTAATGGCTTTGTGATTGTTTCTATTTTTCTTGGTTTTTATTTATTTATAAAGAAATGAAAGATAACTATGAAATACTGATTCCATTTCAAGCCAGCAACGGAAGAATATAATGTAGAAAAAATAATGACAGTGCTAATATTCTTTTGTTCTGTGCTTTAACTTCGCTTAACTCTCTTATGTTAGTTTCAGAATTGAGTTTTATCAAGTAATGCAAAATAAAATATAGCTCTCTAACAAAAGCGAAAAGTTAAAAATTATAGACAAAAGAAGAAACAAAGAAAAATGGTTACTTCTGGTGAATGATAAACTCCGAAACAAAAGGGTAGAAACTTAAATTTGTATATGATGATTGACCAGATGGTCATATCATTTTTTGGGCATATCAATGATGAAAACTATCAGATACCCGTTGGTTGAGCCCTATCATGATAAGGTGACTCTGCTGTTAGAGTTGCAAGTCATTGGTATTCTTTATAGGTGACTTCCTGTGTTTCCACAACATGTAGAGGTGGTGATGGCTTTAAAACTTGTGAAGAGGGTTTTCGAAAATGGGTTCGGTTCAACCCGGGGCTTGCCAAATTGGCTGTTAGTGGCAGTTGTTGGCCCTCAAAATGTGCAGCCTTTTCTAGAGGGTAATTTTGTGCTAGCTGGAGAATTATTCCCCCTTCTTACAATCCATTTCTATGCCCTTTTTTGATAATCACATATAGGCAATCCATCCATAACCCAGTTATTGAAGCATGATATATTCTAAATTGTTCTTCTAATAGCATGAATGCCATTTAGTACACTAATCTTCCCACAGTGGCTTTAGGCCTTTACATTGTAGTCAACCCTTTTTATGCATTAATCATGCTACATAGAAGGGAAAATTGTAATATTAGGTCTTTGGGTCTGATGCCAACCAATTTGAACAGAAGGTGCAAACACTAGAACATAAATTATATACAAGAACCCAGAAAAAAGCCAGCTGTATTGTTTGAAGGAGATCTATGCTAGGATTATTCAAAAATTCTGCAATTGATGTAAGATTTGTGCTCATAAACAGTCCAGAGAAAGAAAATTGTTCAGTGCACCCATTAGCTTGTTTGCCAAATAGGAGGCGCGTGTAGTAATCATATCATTATTGTATCAGTATTTCAATTCAGAATGTCAAGGGATTGAGGTGTTTGGATGAGTGCTCGACTGAAAGGAAACTCAAGTTTATACACAAGTATTAAAGCTAGATGTAGTGTAAGACATATCAGCCATGCTGAGAGTTTTGGGGGACTATTGGAGCCAATTGATTTCTTGTTAACTTAACCAAACCATCATTGGACCCCCTACTCTCTTCCACACATTATTTTCAAGCATCTAGGGACATATAGGATACACAAATGTGGCAGAAAATGCTGCAACAAATTTATTGGTACTGGATGTAAAAGATGCTGCTCTATATATCATCTGTTATGCTACTTTATTTCCACATTCAGTAATTTTTTTCACCCTTGGGGTCTATCTTCTCCTAATATATAAGTGATGTCAGGTGGTACAAAATGCGTCTTCTGCAGCAATGGTAAAATGAAGATGGAGACAGGCTTGATTGATTGCAAGGTGTGCAAGGGTGCAGGTAATAGTTTCTGATGCTTCTTTGCTCGTGCGTTATTACCCTTAGGCCCAGCTATGACCATCTAAGGAGTAAGAACATAGCTGATCTAAGATTTTGGTGATCAGTACTCTATCGTCATTCGTCCCTGTGGAATGATTATTGTCGAAAAATGCAAAGTCCCTGATGACAAAATAAAATACAACATTAATGAGAGGTTCCACTACTAATAGCACAGTCCGTGTCTCTAAAATCTTAAACTTAATTCCATTAAAGGTTGAAAGAAGTAAATCAAATTGTGGTTTTTGGTGAACTTTTTCAATATTTTTGTATGGTTCGATCTCTCCTTTTCTCTCAATGAATTTTATTTTTGTAGGATTGGTACTCTGCAAGAAGTGTGCAGGTTCTGGATATTCTCGACGGCTATGAACTGTGTTTTCAGAATACTAATTTACTCTCTCTATTTTCAATCTGAATGAATTTTCCCTATCTTTAATTCTTTTTTGGTCCAGATGCATCCTTCTTTTTCCCTTGAAGTGTAGCCCCATTCTCTAATGTTCATGTGCTTGTTCAAAAACTGTGAAGGATGAAAAATTGTAAATTCTAATTTACATTTTGTTTCCATGTATATATTTTCATTCCTGATTAGAATATATATATCTTATGCAGCACTGTTTGCTTAGAGAGAAACTGAGGAAAAATCATTGACTGAATTAACATTTCTCATGAAGATTAACCGAACCAGTCACAAGCTTTTATAACATTACAATTGATCAACCATCACCAGTCAGCTGACAAGAACTGATCTGGTGTGAGTTAGTTAACAGTTGACAAGAACTGAAATCTCTACTGGTTTGATCATCTTCTTTAGCTTTTCTATATTGACACACGTGTTTTTTAAGGCGTAAGTTATTCAATTATTAAGTAGAGTTTTTATTTTTTTATTATGAATTGAGAATATTTTTCTTAGTCTAAGAAAGAGAAAAAGACAATAACAACCACCGTATTTATTATTGTTACCAAAAACATGGGACAAGCACTACAAACAAACTGCTTGGACAAAAAATAAAATAATAAAACCACTAAAAACTGCTTTGTCCAGTCACCATGGGCCCACTCTACCTTATTTCCATACAAAACAACAAAAACAACATGCAAAAAATACCCAACAACTCCTCTCCCCCCCCTCCTCCTCGTCCTCCCTATTTCTTCCCTTTCTCACAGTTCTCCTCACAAGTCCTCCTCATCACCACAACACAAGCATGTCCACCTCCACCACCACCATCCCTCCCAACACTTTACCCTACGAAGAATGTCGGGGCGTTCTTCGCATATACAGCAACGGCTCCATCGTCCGCTCTCCCAACCCGAGCTTTGACGTCCCCGTCTTGGACGACGGCTCCGTCGCCTGGAAGGACGTCGTTTTTGACCCGATCAATCACCTCTAACTCCGCCTCTACAAGCCAGCAGCAACGACACTCTCCCTCATCGTCCAAAAAGCTCCCCATCTTCTACTACATCAACGGCG